GGAGAATTACTAAAATCCTAAAGAAGTCCTCATGTCTCATTTTTTATTTATAATCACTAGCTCATAATTCTCTAAATGGCTTCTTCTCCACAGACTCTTACACAGTCATTCCCCTCAAAATAATCTTCCATTCAAATGTAGAAATACCTTATAATTTCTATAGCTCCACTTCTCCAGCAAGTACATATTTGAAAACAACCCCATATTGAACCTTAGGGACTTGCCCTTTAAAACAACCCCTGAAGACAATTCCACTGCAGTACACTTCCAACTGCCATTCACACACACTTAAAATTACTCTAGAAAGTTACCTCATTTTAAATAAAGCACATTCTATCTAAATGTGTATCCCAACATATACTTTGTCCCCACTGTCTCAAACAATGCTGTGTGCAACAAGAGTGAAAACAAAAAAGCATACTTTGCTCTGAAGCAAGATGCGCAGCTCAACCATCTCATCGGTGTTCCGAGACCTCTTGAAGGCCTGCTCTTCCTCCATATCTTCTGCAGGACGTTTGCCTGTAGAGAGGTCCATAGGGGGGAAACACAAATATTTATTTAACTTTCTAAGTCGCAGTAAAATGGAACACGTGGCAAATTTATGCTCTGTGTTATTTATATCTTCTTTCCTATTAGTCCAACACTAATCACTGACGTCTGAGCATGCACAACATGGAAACAAGTCTTTACTTCATCACATTTCTTATTAATTAACTACTGAAAACACATTTAAAAAAATCTATGAACTATAGTTCAAAGGAGAATGTTGGACACAGTCAGCGAGAAATTCATGACACGTTGTTTAAAGCAGTGCAGAATCACCCACTTAGTATTTTTTTACAATTTACAATTGAGAAAAACCTTCCAGGCAAAGCTCAAACACAGTTTGTCCAACACTGAAATACTGGTGGAGCAATAGCAAAGTAGCACTTCGAATACTGTTAGGGAAAAACTGGCTTGAATCAAGAATAGTAATGCCCTAACCTCCTTGAGAATTATGCCCAAAGACTTTTGTATTTAAGCCTTTAGAGATATTTCACATGTTTGTACTCCTGCATGTAAGAACTACAATAAGCAAAACGCAATTAATGGATATGCCTGATATCATTCTTAGATATTCATATTCTTGGCACAATTATGAAGTATTTTTTAATCCTTAGTCCTAACTCTCAGTTCTTGATCTCATGTCTAACAGAAGCCAACACAATTATGCATTTATGTTCAAAAGCATGTGCAATGACAGTCTAATTAAGCACAAAAATATTTAATGCAGAATACAATGCTAATGCTGATACAAACAAATGGTAAAGCAATTACAAAAGTATTAGAAACACTAAATATTAAAGAGGTTCTTTCTAAAAAGAAATAGTCCTTTAAAAAATTTACCATTTGTCTCTGTGTTGGTAAAGGTCTCCTCCTGCTGTTCAGTCTCCATTGTCTTTGCTTCTTTTGCGGGCAAGAGCAAAACCTGTGAGAAATAAAAAAGACAGTACATTTATTCTGTAAAAAGGCAAACCATACATCATGCTAAAGGGGGGGAAAATCCAAAAATAAATGCCTGCTGTTAAAACTTACCGCTATTATATATCCTTGCAGAGAAAAACTCTGGGCGGGATCAAAATCCAACAGCCTATTGCTTCAAGAGCCTATGAAAACAGCATATATCAGTTGTGAGTCTCCTCACGTAACAGCTTTGATTCTCACTACAGTCAAAAAACAGAGGTTTGACCTAAGTTGTTGCTGCCAAGATTTTCTCTATAAAGCATTCCCAAGCCAAACACACCACTAAGCAAAGATAAAAGTCAAGACTTAATTGGTTTACAAACTCTTACTGCATGAATTATGCTTTTGGGCCACATACTAGTTATAAGTAACCACATTTACTAACAATTATTTTCAGATATTTAAAGTCAACACGCACTTCAACATGTTACAGACAATTTTTATAGGACACCATAAGAATCTGCTGCTGCTGTTCACTGCAGTAATTGTCAGCATTAGTCTTACAAATTCTCTACCGAGCTACTGGCAGACATTTGAGCACGCCTTCCACTCAAGTATGATCGATGAACAAAATACAAATTACAGCTTCTGGCTACACTGAAAAAGCTCTTTTACAAATACCACCCTCTGCAGTTATACATAATCCTCTGCGCACGCACACACAATAAAGAACACCAAACGCAGCTAACCTCACTATGATTTTCTGAAATACATTGCTCAGAGGTTGATTGTTAAGCTAATCTTGGAATAA